ATGTAGTTAAAAAGCTACGAAGGGTAAAGGTGTATGTTCATATTGCAAAAATGTTCATGTAAGTTTGTTGAAATTATTAGCTCTGACTATCTAAACAATCTTTCCACTCAGATGCTCTAACCTTTCGATGCAAGTTGCTGGACGGGTTTAAAAAGTTCATTGAGCTGGGCCAGTTCCTTCTTCTTGTCTTCCTTTTTCTTCATTTGAGCCTCCTTTTCCTTCTCCAAATCCCTTGCTGACTTATTGCCGCCATGCTTAACCTGATGTTGTACCTGCTGAATGAAGCGTTGCTGTTTGGCACCCTTCTTGTTCTTTATTCCAAATGTCTTATCCTGCAACAAGAATCTACAATTAGCAACTTCTCAATTACCCTGAGTGAGGCATATTTAGTGTCCAATAATATATATTATTGTACCGTTTGCCAAGTTTCCTTTAACCCCAACTATGATATCACCCTCCATACCCGTCTCCCTTTGTTGGCCTGCCTTTGCCTATGCCAATCAGTCATGTTTTCCTGCCAAAATTTTCCAGTGAATGAAACCTAGAAAGTGTGAAGTAGATTTTATGGTACTGTACGGCATATTTCATTTCAGGTTAGGCATACGGCACACATGTGTGTATGTGCATATAAACTTCATTTCTGGGTAATGAGTATGAACCTAACTTAAGGGGACCGTCCCTGAGAATGGCCACCTTTCCCTACTCTATACATCATAAAAAAATATCGGTTAGAGATAACTGATTGATTCTTTTTGCATGCTATAGAGCAAAGAATTGCGCTTCGTTATATATATAAATTTTAACTTTGCTCCCCCATTGGGGGGGGCACCCCCCAAAAAGTTGAAAAAAATCGGTTTCTTTTGGTATGTCTTCGGTACTTCCCAACTATCAGAGCTCTTTACAGAATATTCCCCCAAAAATGCTAGTGTTAGATCAACTCTAGCCTATAGCCATGTAAAAGGCCGAATTTTGAATTTCCTTTTTTTTTTTTGGCGGGGGACAGCTTGACATAGAGAACTATTTTTGAATGCGTTTTTCAGCATTAAAATATTATTTTTTTTTGATTAAGGCAAAAATTCAAAAATCGGCCTTTTACATGGCTATGGGACGCCGAGGCTCTAGTGAAAGCAACAAACTGCATTTGGATCGCATGAAAATTACGTGAGTTGGGAAGTACCGAAGATTCATAAAAAAATGGCTGAGCTACGGCGTTTTGTATTTGGCACCTTGCCAAAGTTCATTATCTCTGTTATTTTTCTCTGAATCTAATGATATTATATATCAAAAAAATGCTTATTTAGTGTACTTTATTTTCGTGTGAAAAGCTTAATAAATGCATTTTACCATAGAGACAACTAATCTAAACCAGATAAAAACCTTTTTTTTTTTTTTTTATTTTTTTATTTTCCATTTTTTTTTTTATTTATTTTTTATTTTTTGAAGAAATGGGGAACTGTGGATGGCAACATTAGTACAAAATCATTCTAATTATAAAGTCCTGGCATGAATACAACATGGTGGTTCAATTTTGAGAATTTCAAAAGCATATGAATTTAGTACATTGAATTCGAGAACTTACGAAAGTCGTGGAATATTCCCCATGCCTCACACAGGGGGGAGGAGGGGGAGATGGTCACTGGGTGTTTATAATTTTCGAGGAGGATCATATGTACGTGAATGCACGCACATAAAGTTAAAAAGATTAATCATCATCATTTAGTAGGCCTACATTGACTTTCATATCTAAATAATAAAATTTATTAGTTATCCCTCTCATACCCATTTTCTTTGATAATTGTCAATATTAACAGATTGCAAGGGAGAACAAGTGTAAAGTTTATGATTAGCCATTTGCACCCATTATCTTTAGTAAGAAGTGCATAAAATCATGCAGACGCCTATGTGTTGTGGGATATTTGCCAATTTATGGTGCCTAAGACTTACGGTAATGTCTAAACATATTCATTTTTATCGGGAACGCACGAAACGGATGCGATAGCTTTTTGAACGCCAGACGAAGACTATGCATACAACCGATCTCAAAATTCCATATAGTTTTTATTTCAGAGCAGGTATTACTGAGTACTATCATCTTCAACATGAAATAATCTGTATCTCGCTTATACATCCGAAGTTTAAAAATCCGACATTTAGGTAACATTCGTATTGAATTGGTCTTTACAACGGTAACTACCAATTTCAAATCAATTCAAATTGCCCCTGCTGTGATGTACCGACCGTTGAGCGAAATGTAACGGAAATATTTCAATCCTTCCTTATAAGGCTATTTTTAAACATTAGTGCTTTGTATGTGATATACGTATATATTACCACGTAAACTAAAACATATTACCAGGGAGTCTCGATCAAAGCATATTTCGTGTGTAAAAGGACACAAAACATACATTTTTTTTTTAGATATATTTCACAAAATATTTAGTCATAAATCACGGTGATATAATTTTTTCCTGATATTGGTATAAAAGTGTTCCTTGAACATTCACGAACTCATATCTATGCGCAATGTCATAATTAAATGCCTTATGCACGATTGCCGCAAGCAAAAGTCCACATAGGTGTACCTGGGCGCTCAATAGCGACGTACCTCTCCGGGTGCTGAGGGACTCGCACGCCGGCTGCAAGACAACGAGCCATAGCAGGCGGTTAATACTCGTTTGGTAGTTTCCTCATCCATGTACCTATACTATACGCTAACTATCTTAATTTAACCCCCTCCCCCCCCTCTCTCAGAGACGGTCCCCTTAACATAACTGTGACTAGTATTGTCTTCTCATGTCACACCACTGCCGTCTTGTTCATTTCATTATGCAAGCGCAGGACACCAATCAGGGGCTTTTATGCCACACTAGTAGTCACTTCCTTTCATTTACCAATCCATTGATTTCCTATTCCTCCTCTTACATATCACACTTCATATAATGCTCTTGGCATATAGCTAGCTTTTTAAAAACTCTAAACATACACCTTGAACCAGGATGACATTGTGGTCAAATCATGGAAAACCTTGAGTCGATTTAAGATTTAGTTTTAATTCCATTTATTACAATGGATATTCTTTGCTGTGACATACTGTCTGTTTTATTTTGCTACTAAATCTCCCCCTATGTGCAAGGAATGGCTGGGGTTAACATACACTGGTAGTACGCAGGATTGAACGCAGGTCAGCAAGATTGCAAGCCCAGTATGTTACCACTGGATTAGACAGCACAGCTGGAGACATGAACATACTGTCAATGGGCAAAATGGCCGAGGCTTGGGTGACAGAAAAGACTTGACACGAGTGCACAAATCTCTTGGAGTGTGATTTGACTCATTTACCACTTAGAAGGGGACTTTAGCATTATTCCCATTGATAAATGAATGTGGAATGTAATGTGCATGAGCATTGACTGGAAGAGTGCTGGCTCCAGGGAGGATGCCATTTCCAAGCTGTGCACCGCATTACTGGCTGCTGTGACTGGTGGCACAGGTAGTATTACGTAAAATTGAAAATGACAAAACAATGAGTTATACAACACAAATAACCAAATGTTCCATATTTTTCACATTTGCACTGAGTTATTTACTACATAGAGATGATATGGAGTCTGTGCAAGGAAAATAAGCTACTGCCAACTTGGTAAAGCATATCAAAAGACAAATATAGACATTGGAAATTGGCAATAAAGCTAAGAGAGTAAAAAAAATTTTTTTTGCAAAAGGGAGGCACAGTGTCTTGTGACTGCTAATGGTGTTTGTGCGCTCCCCGCCTAACGTGTCACAACCCTGGGATGTTGGCTACTTAAGCAACACCACTAACGTGTTTTCAGCACCGTGATGCTACTGGATCCAATGGGTTAATATGATAAAACATGATTTTAGCAATAATCTATCCCACTTTCATTCAAAAGTGATTCCCTGTATTATGCTGTAGTTTATAAGTGGTTTGCATGTGTAAAGAATATTTCAGTTTTATTTATCTCTGGTGGTTTGTTTCCTCTAATACTTACAAATTGTTTTTGCTTGAACAAGGCTGTTTGTGTTATAAACAGCACTTCATTATGAAGGGCTTGCAGGAGGGTGATTCTTTTTAGTTTTCAGAAAAAATAAGCATGATGTAACTTGTTTTATGATGAAAATGATAGCTCATAATGACATTTACTCTAAAGAAAGAAAAAAATCATATGGAATTTTGAACGGTAGTCTTCTGTATGGTCCTTCTCAAGAATTGATATAGTAATTACACCTTTTTCATGCATTTCTGGTATTATACATACCAGTAGGCCGTAGGTGCTATAAATATATGGACAACACACCCCAACCTTGTATCCAAAAGTTTTTATTTAATTATTTGCAATGATAATCAACATAAATGACTTTACACAACTCTCCACAGGTTCCGCATGCCCAATGGCCATTTTTTTTTTCTTCAACTTGTTAAAGATATATTTTAAAAAGGGTCCATAAACAAACTTTTTTCTTGCCAGTGCAATGAAGGCTTGCAGAACTGTTAATAATCCTTGTTATAAGAACTTGCAAGTAAAGAAGATTATGTAAATAACTGTATAATAACCATTCAAAAATATTAAAGGAATTGGTGAAATACAGGCACTGACAACCAATAAATATTTTATTCACGAGTGTGTAATAATGGGTTACTTGATAATTTCTGTAATTAGTTGTTGGTTTAGTAATTGAGATCACAGAATAAACATTTTGAGTAATACAAAAAATTTGGTTGCAGCAACGAGTTAAATAGGCCCAATTATTAAAAGCACAATATTTGTGTACACTCACTTTTGAATAGTTTCAGTTTCAAGCAGTTATAATATTAAAGTTAAACCTTTTCTGAAATGGAAAGAATGAAAAACTTTCAAGATGCTTTTCATCTAGGGTTGTTGATAAGAAAGTTGTGGGACATGTAATACTTTAGCATACATTTACATGATGACCACAATGAGATAAGAAATATCTAATAACATTGTCATAGAGATGGAAATAAATACAGAGAAGGTATAAGAGATGATTTATGCAAAATCTGGGGGCTGTGGGGAGCTGGCAATAATACGAACAGGAGCGCCTTTTTTCATCAGTTATCTCTGGGCTTTCCAGGGTGCAATTAAAAACTATTGTTTGTAATTTGCTTAAAAAAATTATCAGCATCTATAAAGCAAGCAAAAGTTGTCTCAGAGACTTCATTTACATTTAGAGTTAATTATCAAAAAATGTGTTTTTATTACCAAAAACAAATCAACAAGAAATGGCTATTACAAAACTGAGGATCTACACTTGCATCAATGGCCTGTCTTTAATTGTAGAGGGGGTAAGAACA